TGAAGATCATACTCTTCCCCCTTTAATTAAAGGAGAGCTGCAAAGTTTTCACAGTGGCAGACCCCCGGCACCAGGAATGGCCTTTCACAGTCTGACAGATGCAAATGATATGACCAATTAACGCCCTTCTGATGACCACTGAAGACTTCTGAACTGTGTTAGTGATAACTGGAGGGCAGTGAGCGCTTCCAAACATCAGAAATTCTTACTGCACACATTTTTCAACGCACTGATAAGTATTTTTGACTGTAAGCCAGGGGTGGATAAACGAATATGAAATTCAGGAGCCGGTCTGTCCAATCTTGGAGCCAGCGGGATTTTTTTTTTGTAGGTGCCACCTCGACTGACGAAAACTAGAGCAATCCTCAAAAGGCAGGTGCCAGCCAGAGCAATGGCGACCTGGCTGCTGGGATGTGTCCACCCCTGCCACAAGCCAATATTGCCTATTGCTATGGATAACTAGGATCAAACCTGTTTAAATACTTCTTACTCCCATTCACACCTGAACATTTTGTCACCCATTTCCCGAAGCTTGACAATATGAAGCATGAACAATCTCATTCATGTCAATGGTGCCCAGTCACACTCGAGTGCTTAAAAAAGTACACAAGGTTTTTTGGGGGGCAGAATCATGCATTTTGACCCCAAAGACTTAATTGGGAGAGGGTGAAAATGTGCATAATGCATGTTTTGTACCCAACAACTGCCTCCTCCTAGTAACTAGCTTTGGCTACCACTGGCTAAAACAAAACAAACAGGCCTGAAAAGCGTGCAAAGAAATGCGCAAAAAAGTTAGCTGAAGTGCGAATGGGGGCTCAGACATCTGCCCATCTACGGCCAGCCTTAGGCTCGTGGATATCGGGACAGATCCGACCTGAGCCTAGTAGACTTTGGGACAGATACAACTGTACTCGCTTAACCACACCATACAGGATTCCTTATTTCCCGTTAAATAGAGAAACTCGTACACTGCGAGATTACCGAGGACCAGAGTTTCCTCGCTCATGCAGTTATGTGACTAATCATTTCCATAGATGCCCCCTATATTAATGTACAGACTCATAAACAAGCAACACATGCACTCCCAGACCACACGGTCTTCTAGGCCCACATTCCCTGAATATAGAAACCAGCTATGGAATATGAATATTTTGATGAAAGCAATACTGAAGCTTGTGATACGTTGTAGAACTTTTGTCGGCGACATTCTGATATCACACACACATATTCGGAATAAATGTCAGTTAAAGTACCGCAGCGCTGAATACTGAAAAATGGCCTGGATGGGAAGGGGGTTTAACACCGCGGATGTCAACTGGTTAATCCAATCCTAAATCAGGTCCATGCGGTTTTTTTTCTAATGGTACATTGGGGCCCAGGGATTTGTCCATCCTTACAATTATTTTCATGCAGCAACACCATGAGAAAAAGACACTTTTAAAAACAATATTTTATATTCCCATTTGAATGCAGCAAATAAATAAGCAAAGTGCATTCTTACCACAAAGCTCACGCATGCAAAGCAGATAAAAGATCTGCCAGTCCAGATTGGTGAGCCACTGGCTGGGGTGATCCCGCTGTACCCTGAAGATGCAGATTTAAACCTATCATCATTGTAATGATGACAATCAAATGATTCAGTTCAGTAACCAACCTAACAATTTATTACGGCTTATGTCTAATGACAAGTTGTACATCATTTGCCTTCAGGCAACCTTTAACAAGTCCACCCTACTGCAAAGGCTCATAATTACACGGTAACCGAATTCCTGCCATGAATAGCAGACCAAAAGGTAACTCAAACACAAAGCGTTTCCTGACAGCAAGAAAACACATTACAATGGCAGCCATGTGCAGGTGCGATCACTTGTTGGATGTCACTTCTGCTGGAGACAATGAGACAAACACCAAACTTCCCCAAGCATGCAACAAACACACCAAGGTGAAAGATACCCATCAATAACAGCGTCTGATAACCTCGCATTCCGTGAAGCTGAGTGGTACCTGCTCTGTCACCATAATCCTTTTATAGCTGACCATACACTGGTATGTATAGAAGAAAATAGTATAGATTCCTCAATACACATTAAACAGTGTAGATGGATGAATCTCGCGCTGGGCTGTTGTATCCTGACAGTGGCGTGTGTGCAGCTGTCACAATAGCTGAACAGTTCCGGCAACTGATTGGCTGCCCTCGCTGTTCACCCCTACATTTTCCAACTGGCTCATTTTATATTCTGATGGAATTATTTAATACAGGTATTTATACGGTGCTGACAATTTACATAGGGCACATTCACATCACTCCCTGCCCTCAAGGAGCGTAAATTCTAAGGTTGGCCATATACTAATCTATTTTTTTCGTTCAACCCCCGGGCTGAACGAAAAAAAGAATAGACCAGACTCCTCCATCAACACAAACAGCGTGTCGATCAAGGAATCCCGCTGTTTGCATTGTATTCTGACAGGTGCCACCCTGTCAGAATACCTGACCAGAGCGGGCAGCTCATTGGCTGCCATCTCCAATCGATCGAAGATTTTCCTTTGATCAGCTGATCGAGGGATGCCGACAGCCCCACACACTGTGCGAACTTCGAACAGTGTATGGGCACCTTAAGGTCCTTATTGCACACAGGGACAATTTAGCGTGTCTTTGGAGTGTAGGAGGAAACCAGCGTACCCGGAGGACACCCACACAAGCACAGGGAGAACATGCAAACCCCATACAGATAGTGTTCTGACTGGGAATTGAACCAGGGACCCCGAGATGGTGGACTAAGGAGTGCCAACAGGGCCATCAACTGAACGGCTTTCTTGATGACTGCCCGACATTCATACAGCGTATGGTCAGCTTAATTCTCCGTTTACACTTGTCCACCAGTGGGGGGGGGTTTGTGTATTTTTGTTTCAACAATGGAAAAAAATGATGATAGGTTACTAGAGGGTGGGGGGATTCTCGTCATAAGCTCAATGCATTTCAAGTCTGCAGGGCCACAAATGCACTGTACAGCACCTGCACCTTTCCAAAGAAATCGCACCATACCATTGCATAGATGATATCAGGCACCATAGAAAATAATGTGATTGTCGTAGATTGTAGCGTGATGGCACTAGAGCTGCAACAGTTAATCGATTTAGTCGATTAAAATCGACGATGGAAAACGTTACCAACGTTTTTTTTTTTTTTACTTCCACCGCTCCAAGCTTGCTCCTGTGATGGACTACAATCTCAATACAAACTAGTAGTCCATCACTGGAGACTTTTTTTTTTTAAATCCGATTAATCGAACTTAATAATCGGCTAACTAATCGATTATGAAAATAATCGTTAGCTGCAGCTCTAGATGGCACTAGTGTCAATACAATATTTCGTGTTACACGACCATGAAGTGCAAATATGGAACACTGGCACTCCAAAATGACTGAAGAGTATGGGGGGTATTTATCAAACTTTGCACTGCAGCCAATCAGCTTCGATCTTTCATTTTCAAATCTTACCTGAGCAAACTGAAAAAAGATGCCGATTGGTTCCCATGGGCAATTGCTCCAGGTTTTGATAAGTCTCCCCCCCATGTCTTTTATCGACTCGCATGGATATAAATCATTTTTGGGAGTCGGTGTCCCATATTTGCATGTTCTGTTACGGCCTCATGCGTTGGTCACCGCTGCACCCATTACTTGCCACGGACTAGACGGTCAGGAGTGCAATGGACTTTCACATGACCATAAAGAACGCTCACAGGAGCTGCTCATCAGATCAACTAAAGCCACATATAAGTGACACGGTCCTATGAGATGATATTAATAGCAGGACCTGTTACTATACACAAATGACATGAATCGCTTTGACACAACAATAATCGCCACAGATAACTGTAAGCGACATCCTAATAAACGGCACGGCGCTCCATTTCATTGCTGTGTAATGGAATTTGCCAAGCTCAGTTTTCCACAAGTCTACCCGCTCCTAGGAAGCCACAGCTCCACAATACATGACAGATCCCAGCCCATTAGGCAATAATAAAAGTCATTCATAAATAGCATTTTAGCCTGTGGCGTGTCAATGGAGACATACTGCAAAGGGCTGCGAGCCTGAGAACGGCCAAGCATGTTGATTATGTAATGTGCAGCACGCAATGACCAACAATAAAAAGACATCTCGTCTGCAACATGTTGCTAAAGAAACTAGGATCCGTGCAATAACACAAGCAGCAGCAGCGGCGGCTGCAGGAGAACCCACTTCTAGCAGCCATCCATTCTACAGGGCATTACACAGATCGCTGCATGATGTGCGGGTTCATACGCCGGTGACCCTTTAACTGCCTATTTAGCAGCACCCGGCCAACACACCAACTATACCGCTGCAGTTGTTGCAGAGCCGTCATGCATGCGGATGTCAATCTCGAGCATGCTTCCATCATCTCATTCCAAATAAAGATATTGCAGGGGAGGGTGGCTGTCTAGATGGGATCTCCCTTGTCATCAGATCGGGATGAGCCCCCCCACTATTAAAACTTGCAGCAACGCAGGGAGACATTTCTGCAGAAGTTGCACCCAAACACACCAGGCTACAACTGCCTGCTCCCGATCACAGCATGTCACAGGTGGCCCCCCCACATCAGACATGCCCCCCCAGTTTACTGATGAGCCTCTGCCAAGCAGACAGCAACAGTGCTGCGGCCCATGCACACATCAGCCGGGCTTTAAACTGCCATACTGCATGCATTTCCACGTCCTCATCTGCAGCAATGCACCGCAGCCCAACCAAGGCAGGCAGTGGGAGGCGAGCCTGCAACTACAACCCCCCATCCCCCCTAAATCAGCGCACCCCAAGAAGAAGGGGGGTAACTTACTCCTCCGGGGGGGCTTCCTCGCTCATCTTGCAGTGATCACCGGCTCTCTCCCGCCTCGGGGGGCTCCGAGCTGCTCATCTTTCCCGAGGAAGGCTTGGACGTTTAGGTATCCCCCGGCAGCATCGAATGGGACCCCCACAGTCCTCCCTCCTCCTCCCCCAGTACTGGTGTCGGAGAGCGGGCTAGAGGCAGGCTGCACCCCGCCCGTGTGGCTCCTGCTGCTGGTGGTGGTGGCCCCGTCCGAGCCCCATCTCCTATCGCTCCATGCTGTCTCCCCTGCCGCGGTCTCGCAGTGTAATGTGTGAGTCTCACCCGCCGCAGGGACAAGGAGGAGAGAGACAGAGAGGAAGTGGGGCGGAAGCGATGACGTCACACTCCCCAGCAACAAGCAGCTGCGAGGACACGGGGCTGTGGAGGAGGGGGGAGGGCAGACACACACTCAGGAGGAGGGAGAGAGGGGTACGAGGGGAGGAAGGAACTCTCCACAAAGCGGCTCATGTCACCTATGTACGAGTCCTCCAGGGGAGCAGAGCCATGACACGGTCTTCATAGCAGGGACATTTTATTTTTAGTATAGGGAAGGGTTAAAAACTCTGCCAGGTCATTTTTGTGCCTTCAGCGTATCAAGGGGGAAACTTTCTTATACTTCCTGTCGCAGAGATGCAACAGGAAGTTAGAGGAAATCAACTAAAGTGAGGGGGATTTCCCTCTTAGGCTCCATTCACACTAGAGCTGAGTGTGTTTGGCTGGTTTGGGGGCTGAAAGGAGAACTATTGGCCGAGTAAAATGTATTCTTCCCAACGGTTTCAGCATGTGACCTGCTGCAGTCACACCTGATCTCTATCCATTGAGAACTGAGGGATTACTAACTCACAGCTTCTCCCTGCAGAGACAGGTGTCTCTTAGTCACCACCCCCTGAGGAGTTCCCCCCTCCTCTTTCTGTCCTCCAGAGCTCATTGTAGGGACAGGCAGGTGAAGAGGCAGGCACAAGTGGCTCTGGCTCTATACAGGCAGAGCCAGCTGTCAATCAGACAGAGGGGTGGATCCCGACAATATTGTTCAGATCCCTCCCAGCTGCAAGCATGTCTCTGCGCTGTCAGCATATAGCAGGCAATATCCAGCTATAGGCAGGGCCGGATTCCACGCAGGGCCCAGCCTCGTGGCAGGGAGCAGAGGGGCGGCACAGGTTTGAAATCTCCCGACGCCCGGGACATTTGTTTGCTACAGTGCTGTGCTAGAACTCCTGTATTGGAGGTGACAGGTTCAATAAAGAGAACCTGTCACCTCTAAATGCTATCACACAGGGGATCGTTAGCTTCTGTGTGATAGCAATAAAGTTAAGTTGAAAAAAAATGGTTTAAAATAATAACATAAAAATGAAAGAAAATCAGTAAAAAATAATAGGTAATAATAATTACATTTAAAAACTAAAGTAAAAAAATAAAAAGTAAAAAATTATTATAAGAAAATTATATTTAAAAAAATAATAAGATACAAACTTATATAAAATGAAAAAAAGTTAAAGATAAGATAAAGACAAATTTACAAAAA